TCAGAAACACCAGGTTCACACACACACACACACACACACACACACACACACACACACACACACACACACACACACACAATGAAGACTGCGATCGAACCGACAACTTTTGGAGGACGGCCGCTCTACCCCTCAGCCACAGTCGCCCCGAGATTATCTCACCACCAAACTCTGTTCACTTTTCTAAGGATTTAACAACAAAGTCTTGTCGAGACGCTGCTGTTATTCTGCGGCTTTAAGGAAACTCACCCGATTCAACCGACATTTTAGCTAAATGAGTCCAGTCCCGGACAATTTAAAGTGAGCCGAATGAAAGGACAGGTTGTCCGGGTCAATGCGGTGTGTTGTCGTGGAGTGTGTGGTGGATGTGGTTTAATCAGCGGGACAGTAACGTTTGACCCGGTGGTTATTCACGGGAGGTTCGGCTCTTACCGAGGTGCAGGGTGAGGTTGATGGAGCTCGGGTACTGGATCCCCGCCAGCATGGTCTGGCTCTGCCACCAGGTGGTGTCCTGCTGGTTGTTGTAGTCGGTCAGGTCCGCGGCTGTGTGGTGGTTCCGCGGGTCCTGGGCGTCGCAGATGTGGCAGGACTTGGTGACGCCGGTGGCCCCGGTCTGGACGCAGTACTCCTCGGGCGGGGAGCCGCAGGTGTTGGTCGCCACCACCGTCACGTTAAAAGCGGCGTTAACGAACTCGGGCATGCAGCGCTGCGGTCCGCCCCGTTCATCCGAACACTCGTCCATGGCGCCGCGGACACACACCGCCACCCAGCTCCAGGCCACCACGGCCCGGATCCAGCTCTGCATTCTGTCGGTCCTCCTCCGAATCTCTGCGCGGCTCCGACACGAACTTTCCCCGAACTCACACAAAGTTTTGCGGTAACTTTACCGACACGCTCCCGAGGACACGCTGGGTGAAAACATGCGGGAAGGCTGTTCAGCGGCGGCTTCTCTCTGCTCCAGGCCGCGTCCAGAGGCTCGTGTCCCGGCTGCGCTGCTGCGGTGTGACGGTGTGAACTCGGGCCTCAGCTCTTTGTGTCCGCCGCCATTCACCGAGCACAGGAAGAGACTGCGCCCGAGCCGCTCTGCGCATGCGCAGCACGGAAACACCCGAGAGCAGTCGATCCGGAACACACGCGCACATACACACACACTTATACGCACGCGCACATGCACACATACACACGCTTATATTATACACATACTGACACACACACACATGAATACACACTTTTATACACACACACATACACACTTATATAAACACATACACACACTTATACGCACGCGCACATACACACATTCACACGCTTATATTATACACACACACACACATGAATACACACTTATATAAACACTTATACACACACTTACACAATCTCAGATTTGTTTTCATTGTCTTTACGTTTTTTAAATGTTTCATTAACTTTATTATCGATTAGATTTCGTTTCTTGCTGCAAACTTTTGGTCTGAAAGTGAAAAAGTGTCAAAGTGAAGCAGGAGATTCAGTAACAGTGGAATAGTGTCGAGGTGGAGCTGAGTGGAATGAAGACATTAGATGAACAGTTTTCACTCAGGACCTTCGGACTCGGTCACATGATGAGGATCAGAACGTGTTCACTGACACAATCAGCTGGGATTAGATCTTCAGACAAGGTCAAAGGTCAAACATGAGTCTCACCGGACAGACTAAAGGTCACTGACGGTCTTTCTGCTCCTGAACTTCATCTTTTTTCAAGTTGTGCAGGAACCAATCAGAGACATCGGGGAATTTGTTCAAATAAAACTTTATTGTCAGGAATATGTTGGAAATGTATGGACGAGCAGTTCTGAGGATTTGATTGAAAACCTTTTTCGAAAGAATCACCTTCTACCTGCAAACATTTTACAACCGCTTAATAATCACATAGGCAGAAATGAGCTTTCTTTATTTGAAAGTTAAAAATGAAAATGCAAACAAACCCGGATGATCAATGGATGTAACTCAGGTTATTAATAAAATGTAAAGACGTTAAAATCGATTAAAAATCATCAAAGAGACAAAAAGTGAATTTACAACTTTAAACTCTTTGTTTTCATGGAAGTTTCTGGAGCTGAATTGATGATTTAAAGTTTTAACTCTTTACATTTTGGTAAATAAATTATATTTGCACAGTCAATGATTAATAAATAATGAATTCAGTTTACTTCTCAAACACTGGAACATTGTTCTCTCTGTTCTTCTGGAGCTTCAATGGTTTTTCATCCTTAGTCGTGATGACTGACTGGTAACGAACACACTTTAATTTAACAACACGTTTAAATTAAATTAAACCCTCAGGGGCCCCTCTTCAGGACGGGGCCACAGATCATAATCCAGGACCCATCACACATCAGATGATTCGGATCTAACTGATGAACATTCTCACACAAATGAGATGAAACAATCACAGACAAACAGAGTGAGCCGGGGGTCCGAGGCCCCTGAGGGTCGAGGGCCAACATCTTCCAACAATTACAACTGCTCCACAGAAAAGGAGTCAGATGGCGCCTCCTGCTGGCGGCCTGCACAAACTTAAAGGTCATTTATAAATCATTTTAACTGAACTTCCTCCTGAAGCTACAGAAGAAAAAGTGATCAGTTCCTGAGCTCCAGCTCCGCCTGTCTAACCCTGAGGCCCGGACCCGGCTCCAGAGAGGAGCTGAGGTCCGGCCCCGGCTCCAGAGAGGAGCTGAGGCCCCGGCTCCAGAGAGGAGCTGAGGTCCGGACCCGGCTCCGGAGAGGAGCTGAGGTGCGGACCCGGCTCCGGAGAGGAGCTGAGGTCCGGACCCGGCTCCAGAGTGGAGCTGAGGCACGGACCCGGCTCCAGAGAGGAGCTGAGGCACGGACCCGGCTCCAGAGAGGAGCTGAGGCCCGGCCTCACAGAGCTCTGATGTTCACTTCCATCATTGTTCGAACTGACTTTGATGAGGAAGAAAAAACCGAAGCAACCATCAGCTTCACATGTTGAATATTTATTTTATCATCTTCATCATCATCATCATCACAGCTGATATAAGGAGCTCAGGAAATGACTGAATGTCATCATCACCAATGATGTCACCGTGATATCAGGACTTTAATAACCTCCTCGGTACCCTCCTCCTCCTCTATACCCTCCTCCTCCTCCATAACCTCCTCCTCCTCTATACCCTCCTCCTCCTCCATAACCCCCTCCACCACCTCCCCTGTATCCCCCACCACTCCGGTACCCTCCTTCCCCACCCCTGTACCCACCCCCACCTCCATATCCTCCCCTACCTCTGTAACCCCCTCCTCCCCCTCCGTATCCTCCCCCCCGGTAGCCACCTCCTCCTCCATCGAAGCGTCCCATCTTGGGAGGTCGAGGACCGTCTCCCATCCTGAGCAGAGACGAAGACACTGAGTTCAGCTTCACTGAAACTACAAAACATCACACAACAAAGAGTGTGATGTGTTACCTGTGTGTGCTCATCAGGTTGAGTCCAGCGGCGGTGGGTTTGGACACGAGTCTGATGACGTTGATCAGCCTCTCGTTGCTCTGATCCATCTGTCTGATGAATTCTGGGTCTTTGGTCACTTCCACCACCAGCGCCTCCAGAGCAGCGCGCAGGGCCACAATGGCTCCTCCCACCTCATGAGGGATCCTCAGTTTGATCCTGGACACACGATCAATCCATCAACTGTCTGTTTGTGCGTGTGTGTGTGTGTGTGTGTGTGTGTGTGTGTGGTCGTGTCAATCCTCACCAGTCGTCCAGTCCCACGATTTCTCCGTCGGAGCTGATCTTCTTGCAGGCGAACAGCAGCAGCTGCAGCGGACTGACCAGAGTCATCCCTTTAGCCGAGATCGCTCTGGTTCGAATCTGACGCCACAAACACGACAGACTTTTAGTTTCCACAACGACACACAACCCGTCTCATGACATCACGTCTGGATTCAACAATTTTGAAAACGATAACAGAATTCGTAGGTTTTTATTTTTCCTCTTAATTTCATGTTTATCAAAAATATTTGTAAAAACAATCCAGAATATTTTCTTTCACTTCGTGTTGAACGAGTCTTCAAAAGTTCATCGTGGGAGTTTTACCTTCTCGCTGAAGACGAAGAACGGCGAGGGGTAGCTCATGTCGTGGCTGCTAAACGGACAGTTGACTGAGGATTTGTGGATGAGGGCGTTGCGCCCCTCGGTGGTCAGGATCTTCCTCTTCTCTTTGTGGTAACAGACGTTGGGGTACAAGCCGAAGGTCAGCAGAGAAATGACCACGTCCAGATTGTTGTCCGGTCCGACCGCGTTGAACATCTGTGTCAGCAGAGACTCTGGGGGGGGGGGGGGGGGGGGACATAGACTCTGAGACATATCAGCGTTTGATTGACAGGTGGCAGACGCTACGCTGAATATCTAAGATGAATCGGTGTCAACAGCCAATCAGAGCGCAGGGCGGGGTGAGGGCGGTATTGATTTGGTGAAAGATGGTGTCGTGTGTGATCCTTTGTCGTCAGTCAGTCGTGTATGAACGTGATCTGATGACTTTGAGTTCATCAGTGGTGCGTTCAAGTACCTTCAGGGAATCCAGAGTTGACCAGGATCTCCTTCAGCTGGACTTTAGCCTCCCAGGTCATCCTCAGAGTCGACATGTTCAGACGTTTGTGTTCACAGAAACGAATCTCTGCCTCCTCGCCATTAATCCTGGAGGAAGAGACGCAGAGTTCACAGACTGCCAGTCTGACTGCAGGTCAAGACCACGCCCCTTTCACTTTCAGCATTTTATCGTCATAAAACGACCTCTGACCTGCAGCCGACACGCTGACGTCTCTGCACATGTTCCGCTACAGGAACACGTGACTTTAATCAATCAAATCATCATCAACACAAATTAAATATAAACAGGAAACTAAATATCCAGAATATCCAAGAAATTTAAAATATGCAAATAATATACGTCTTTGAAAAAATATTAAATGGCTTTATATTCAGAAAGAAAACGTTTCTGCAGTAAACATAAACATTCTTTAGTTTAATAAACCTCATGTGTTTGAATTATCGTACCTGATGTCGTCCCACGCCTGGAACACCGACAGCAGCGCCACGTGATCAGAGAAACGACCGCCCGCAAAGTTTCTATGGACGAAGCCGAGACGCTTCCCCTCGTTGATGAACGGCTCCTGGAAACAGGAAGCAGCTGAGATGGTGCACATCGCATCACCAACGCTGGAGGGAGACAGAAATACACATCACCGACTCCGCCCAGTAACATACAGGACGTCAGGTGATTGGTCGGTCCAGTGACGTGAGGGAGACACTGACTGAAAGATGCAGCCCATGATCATCATCTTCCCCAGGCGAGGTTCGATAGGGAGTCGAGCTAGAATCCGTCCCAGAGGAGTCAGCTCGTCATTAACGTCCAGAGCATCCAGCTCTGAAACACACACACACACACTTATTTAACCACCGTGAAGCTCATGCATTCTTCTTCTTCATCTTAAACATGGTAATCTGTGTGTGTCTCGTACCTTTCAGAGTGTGTTCGGCCTCGATGACAGCATCCAGCGGCGGCGGCTCGATGGCCTTGGACAGGAAGTGTCCGATGGCTCCGAGTCTCAGCAGTTTGATGCTCAGAGCGACTTCATGCAGCGGCGTCCTGAAGATCTCCGGTGTCATGTGAGTCTCAAGCCTGCAGAGACATGACATCTGAAATCACGACTGGACAGAGAATACGAGCAGCTCAGCTGGAAGGACGCCGGAGGTCAAAGTTCGTACCGGTCGAACCGAGCGTGGCTGCAGAGATGGAAGCAGAACCCGGGTCGAACTCGACCGGCTCGACCTTTCCTCTGCTCCAGGTTGGTCTTGGACGCCCAGACGGTGGCGTAGTTGGTCATGTTGTTGTGGGAGGTGAAGAGCTTCACCTTCTGTCTGTGGACACACAAACACAAAGTCAGAACAGCCAGACAACCTTTGACCTGACACACACACACAACAATACAAACACAACAATACACACACTTACTTGCAGGAGTCAATGACGTAGACGACATCGTTGATGGTGATACTCGTCTCTGCGATGTTTGTGGACAGAATCACCTGAAACATCCAGACACAGATTTTTAAAACACACCTTCTTCATTCTGCTCTGATCTAATCCGATTTCTTTGAATCTAATCTGATATATTTGACCTTAATCTGATCTATTAATGGATTTTTAACTTCCTCCCCGTGACTTTAAATTCTGACAGTTAGCGACCGGTGTACAGGGACTTAGGCTGTCCCACTTATCGGTTCAATCTACAAACGAAGGGAAAGGATGTGGAGAAAAGTCCTGGAGACAGAAGCAGGCTGTCGTCATAACTTTACATTTTGAGCTGCTGGTTGCTGTCGACTCTGCCACATGGGGGCGCTGACGGACAATCAGAGCTATCTGCTGCCATAAACGACCAATCAACATCCACACAACTTCCTGTTTTTGCCAGACACGTGAATATGAGGAATCAAACATGTGACGTCTGTTTCACTTGAGATTGAATAAAAACTGATTTCATGTCTTTGTGCTGTCACAGTTTTGCGTATGAAAATAAAGTGATGTTGAAGAGATGCTCAGTTTTAGGTCGTCTGGTTTGAATCAAACTAACAGAACAGATTCTCTGATGTCTGACCTTCGTAATGTTGTCAGGAACCGGGTCAAACACCCTCCTCTGCTCCTCTCGGGGGATCTGAGAGTGAAGCGGCAGGATTCGGTATCGATTACTCCCTGCAGAGAAAATGTATCAATAAATAAATGAACCACTGCAATAATATAAAAACCTTTCGACCCTTTTCGGCTCAAAGGGTTTACATCAGCGGTTTTAATGTTTTATCTCACAGCAGCAATTCAGATGTGACGTGTAGTGAAGCGTACCAAAGTGCGGGTTGGACTCCAGGTGCCTCTGCATGGAGTAGATGAGGTTCCAGCCGGGCAGGAAGACGAGCACGGCTCCGCTCACCTGCAGACTCTCGATGTACTTGAGCAGAGCTTCGACCAGCTCGAAGGACGTCTCCTTCTCGTTTATTTGAGCCATCGAATGCTTCGTCTCCGCCGTGTAATCAGGTCCACAGATCACATTACAGTTGGTCTGCAGACAGAAGACACCTCAACATGGACTCTGACACATAATCAACACAAACTCCACCACTCCAGATACTGACAGTCAGGAACACAAGGTGGAAGCTTTCATATCCCCA